GAACATTTAATCAAAAATTAAGCAGTGAATACTAAAGATGTCTGTAACGTCAACTACAGAGAGTATTTTCAATCCATCCTACTGGGTCGTCTCAGTTAGGGCCATGCCTTTATAATCCCTGGCAAGCACAGGTATTAAAATTCACATACTGGATGTTTCCATATTGAAATATCAACCACAGGTCTCTTTCTTATTCCATTCAAAACCACTTTGCATAGTCCAGTTACTGATCCTCACAGCACCCCAGTGAAAAAGGCAGTATTATGCTTTAGTTTCTAATCATGTGAAAGTTTGGTAATTTGCCTACCAAACTTCAGGGAAAAGAAGTAGCAATTTCAGTAAGAGTCCAAAGTTCCTGAATCCAGGTGCTTTGATCAGACTTGGGACATTAACCATCATTTGCCACGTAAACTGAAGTATTTAGTTGTATACTTTCTAACCAATATGAATTCTGGCTTCTCTAACTCTGAGTAATTTCAGTTTCCTCATTTCCTTTTGCTTTCCCTGCTGGGATTTCATGCTATAATTAGCCTCAGGTTGGAGGAACTGGCAGGAAAGTCCAGTACCAACTCGGAATGTTTTCCGTCATTTGACCAAACCTCGAATGCTGAACATTTCTAACATTCAAAGAGGGTTTGTTTAAGTTTTCCAGTTTTACCCTCCTGGTTTCAAATGCCACCAGATGCAGAAGGGCCAAAACTCTGTAAGGAGAAACTATTTTAAACAAGCTTTCTGGCCCAGAGCAGCCTGAAAAGACCCAGATGCATCTGAGAGAAGTAGCCAAAACCCTGGGTGCCTGCGCAAATGGAGCCTCTGGAACCTGGGAGGCTTGTCTGTTCCAAGGATGCAGAATTCAAGAGTGGGCCCCTTCTTTTGGAGAAAAGCAGGGCACGACCTTGGCAAGGCAGTGGCTGGAGAGCAGGGCCAGGCAACCCTCTGGGAAGGGGACAGCCCATGTCGGTACTGCAAGGCCACCTGCGACGCTGCCTGCCACGTGGACATGTGCTGTGTGTCTGGAAGAACTCACAGGATTAATGTGTTTCCAAACTGCAAACCAGGTGAAAACTGAGAATCTGGTGCCCCTGGAGGAAAAAGCCTGTTTATATACACATGGCCACCAGCTAGGCAGATGGAGCACACGGGGCGCCTCCCTACATTGTGTGTCAAACCTCAAACTGTAAACTTGACCCAAACATGGCACTTGAGAGGTCTGAGTGACAATCCAGGAAAATGCTACCTTAGAGGACATGAGCCTTGCTTCTTGTGGGTTTCTGCTATCTAGAAACAGCCAAGACCTACAAAATTATGTCAGAACAACAAAATAGAAAAGTTTCAGGAAGCTCAAAGGAAAAAGACATCTCAAAGAATGTAAACACTTACCATGTTATTCTTTCTTTACTAAATTCCAGTAGATGCAAGGCTTTTCTTAGAGCAATGCTTCTCAAACTTTAACGTGTATAAGAATCTCCTGAGGAACTTGTGAAAATACAGATTCTCGGCCAGACACAGTGGCTCATGCCTGTAATCCCAGCACTTCAGGAGGCCAAGGCAGGTGGATCACCTGAGGTCAGGAGTTTGAGACCAGCTTCGCCAACATGGAAAACCCCTGTCTCTACTAAAAATACAAAGAAAATAGCTGGGTGTGATGGTGCACACCTATATTCCCAGCTACTCGGGAGGCCGAGGCAGGAGAATTGCTTGAACCCAGGAGGCAGAGACTGCAGTGAGCTCAGATTATGCCATTGCATTCCAGCCTGGGCAACAAGAGCTAAACTCCATCTCAAAAAAAAAAAAAAAAAAATACAGAGTGTCATTCAATAGACCTGGAATGGAGCTCACAATGCAGAATCTCAAAAAGCTCCTGGGTAACATTGACACTGAGGACCCACAGTCCACAAGTAGAGGAGAAAGCAGTTGAAACTCTTCTATTTGAAATACTTCTCAATAGCTTCTCTTCGTATCATTAGATAACATTCAAGTGGAGGGTTGGTTTCAATGTCTGCCTTTTTTCTTTCTTTTTCCCTTTGGAAATCATATTTCCCCAACAACACATCTTCATCTAGGAAAAGTTAAGAAGCTTTGAGGTCTATGTTCCAATTTAAAAATCATCCCAAGCTCCTTGTCAGCATAGAAAGGAAGTTTCTGGATAGATCCCCTATTAGAAAGCAGATTTTAAAAAATAAGGAAAATCCACACTACACAGAAAGTTCAGCAAGATTGTTCTCCTGGGATTTTAGACTCCATCCAATTTGGGTTGTCCATCTCTGCCTCCATTTTCTGGCCAGAGAATCTACTTTATAATGGACGTGTTGAGTTCAGAGACAGCACGTGGCCATCACGTAATAAAGATGCCTAACAGAGAGTGCTTTAATTGGATTGGACTGCGCACATAAGTCTATACATTAATTACAGGGTGATGCAGCTAAAGACCTTTCAACTCTTGCTGGTATTTTCATAGGGCCATTAAAAAAGACTCCCGAGCATTTTCTCCCCACCCCATCCCCCACCCATGGTGGCATTTAGAAGCTGTAACCAATCTGAGCAAGAATGAAAACTGTCATCCAATTCCTTGGCAAAGCCACAGTCCACTGCAGCCACTCGGGTACAGTTCCCAAGCCAGAAGCCCGGGGTCTGAGTCACTTGCAGGAACTAGGACAGAGGGTGTGGGTCAATACACAGACTTAAAGAATCCTAAACTGTTTTAGTTAAGATAGGATTAAGCATTTCTCCAGGCGGTTCGCTGATGACAGACGTGCCCTTTTGTCTTGGGCTCCTGGGGAAGTGGCAAGGCCAAGTTCACCAGCAGCTGGCTGAGGCTTTACTTATTGTCATGGCCTGGAGGGTGCCCAGGAACGCTCCAACTGCTGCATCACCAAGCTGTGAAGTTATGCTGCGGCTGTCGTGGCTGTGAACCCCGCCCAGGAAGGCCGTGCAGGGCCAGTCTGAAGACCTTTGTATTCTGCCCCCTGGTGCCCATTGAAACCTCAGCCCCGAAGATGACAGCATATAGTGAGGCTTCAAGGAGCCCCAGCCTTGGAGTGTCTTTACATTCTAACTTGTTTTAGGAAGACCTCCCCTAGGAGAAATAGATAGGTATCTGGCTCGAGCTAGGCCCAAAGAGAAAAGTTGAGAATTCAGGCGGTTTGCTGACACATCCAAACCCTCCTTCTGAGCGTCTGGACACCTAAGGCTAAAAGCATCTGGGGAGTTTCTAAAATTAAATCTCCTAAGGATTATTCTGTATGGCCCCTTGAATTGCTAAAGTCATTATTAAGTGTGAGTGACTCTGCAGTGGCAGCTGCACGTTCCAGCCCTCAGCTCTTAGGGCCCTTCCAGGGAATCTGAAGTGTGGGAGAGAAAAATTAGCCCGGTTTGGGGTTCAACTCAGGGCTGACTTTATTAGGGAGTGTAATAACACAGGCCCATTACGTTCGTTGTGTTCACAGGGGATTTGCACTGAGAAGCAATATGAAACATGCATCACACTTAAAGATTCACAAGCCTCATAAAAGAGATGTAGCCTTATTCTTCTTTGTTAGATGTTAGCAAAGTGTCAACATGTGGCCGGCTAACTTCTCACAAGTGTAAGAGAAAGCGGTCTGTTGAGTTTCAATTCCTGCTTCAGTCAAAACAGGAGTAAGTAAAAATTGTGTCTGTTCCTTTTGAAAGATCTGTGCTATGGAAGCTACTGTCATTGTGGGTCTTTGTGTGTGTGAAATTAAGTGAATGAGGGAAAACAGAGGGAGTGTTGTGAGAGTTCAGCCTTTCTAAAGCGCGGGTGCTGGCTACTGCAGCTCAGAACCCAGGACTGCACTTCCAACCCATCATCACACAGGTTCTCTCGAGCCAACATTTCATGTGCATGGAGTGCTATGCAGATGTAGGCAGAGCAAAATTGAATAAGGTAGTTAGTTAGGAAAACAAGTCTTTCTTTGTCTTGGAACTACAAAACAAAATGATGTTTTATTTGTCAGCAGGTAAAGCCAATGGGGCAGGAAAAGAAGTATGTGTGACCAGAGTGGTTTGCCCACTTATAAAATTATCCCATGTTTAGCATCTTCAAACAGTCATGTCTTTCTGTAGAGGACAGATGTGCTATATAATATTTATTAGCCCCAGGAGAAGGAGCTTGCCCTGGAGAAGTGTTTCCTCCTGGTTCCCCTTCTATTGTGAAATCCTCACGTGCTCAAAGTGTAGTTTTACATACAGGTGTAAATTAGCCTGTTGATTTGAATTGAACTAGAGAAAGGTGATGCAGGGAGCCTTCCCAAGTGAGAACACAAACAGCAGAGTAACTACAGCTTTGTCCCAAATACAGGAATTCTCTTTGCTTTATTTTCCTTTAGCTTCCTAATGTGTGTGTTAAGAGAGTACTATGATTTTATCTCTTTACTGAGATACATACTAAAGTTGTCCATTTAGAAGGAATAAAACCACATAATTTTGGTTTCATTAAAATAGCCTTTTTATTTCAAAAGTAAAATTCTTTTCCATTCCCAGGCTTTAAAATACCTGGGAGTTGCCAGCCCCGTGTAGGGGTCAGACTCTCACCAAGACGTTTCCTTTTATTTATTTTTCCCTTTTATAGTTTCACTTATGCCATGATAGTCTTTACCAAAGGACTTAACTCTGCCGGAGCTGATGCTGAGCATTTTAAATGATGGGATCCACATCCTGTGGGAGCAGTGGCTTGATGCCAGCGTTGAATTACTATTGAATAAGCAGCAATGAAATCTTTATCAAAATAATCAGTAGTTCCAAAAACCACAAATAACAACAGGAGCCGAGTTGTACTAAATCAGCAAAGGCCATTGAGATATAATAAGAGACTGAGTCACTTTTCTCTGCATCCCGCCTCTTGCAAATTCTACTCGGCTATTTTCTTGCACAGCCTGGGGGAGGGCAGGTGGAGGGAAGGAAGGGCATTGCTCAGAAAAGAAAAAAAAAAATTGACATCACTTAAGTCACATGATCACCAAGAACCAATCAGGATGGGATGTGGAAAGGGGAACAGTTAAATTTGTAATTTGGGTTGTGTGAAAACTTCTTTGGGCCTCATAAACAACCACAGAACCACAAGTTGGGTAGCCTGGCAGTGTCAGAAGTCTGAACCCAGCACAGTGGTCAGCAGGCAGGACTAATCACACTGAATGCAAACCACAGGGTTTCGCAGCGGGTGAGCATCACCAACCCACAGCCAAGGCGGCGCTGGTTTTTTAATTTTTTTTAATCTTTAACAATTTGAATATTTGTTTCCACAAGGTGCATTTTTTAATAGGGCTTGGGGAGTCCCAGAGGTATCCAGCAGGGGGGAAAAAGAAAGAGAGATGTAGAGTAGGGGGTGAGACTGAAGCAGTGATCTTTCTTGGTTTTCCCTCCGAAGGCAAAAGAAATCATTGAGTCCCCCGCCTTCAGAAGAGGGTGCATTTTCAGGAGGAAGCGATGGCTTCAGACAGCATATTTGAGTCATTTCCTTCGTACCCACAGTGCTTCATGAGAGGTGAGTACACGCTGGTCTTGAAATATGTACTTTTGCTCAGCTTTGCCTGTAATGAAATGGCAGCCTGTTTCACCTCGGTGCAGAGATGCCTCGGTGCCTGTCGGTTCCCTGTCTGGTTTGTGGGAGGAATTCGAACTGAGGCATATGATTACAAAGCTATTGGATTACTTACTCATCAGATGGAAGCTCTTCAGAAATGTTTTAATAAATACTTAGTTACACTGGTAGAGTGTTCAGTCGGTGCGTGAGAACTTTGTTAAGTGCGAGTAAATTGTGCCGGTCTTGTTTAAAGGCTTAGAGATGACGAAGCTTGCACGAAGCTCCCTGGGTTTTATTTTGCTGTCCCTTGCCCGGAATGACTGTGTCTGAGTTACCCTTCACTCCGCATGCTGTGTGGCCCAGAATGCAGCCTGCCCCGGGGCTTAGCAGGCACATGCAAGAGCCAGCCAGGAGGGCTGGTGCCAGTGTTGGGCAGGAGACGGAGGCTCTCGGGTAGACTTGCACTAGGCTGGTGACTTCTGTCCAAAGTGGCAAGGCAGCTGTCTACCAGGCAGAGAGTACAGGAGCCTGACAGAATTGGTTAGGTTAAAATCATCAGCATGGAACTGTGCTGTGTTTTCCCTTGCAGCCTCAATGCAGAGACAACCAGCATCTTTTAAGAGACAAGGAGGCAAATCGTGGCATACTGAGGTCTCTCTGGAAAAGCGCAAAGAAGTCTCCTAAGTTAAACATTCTCGCAGCTTAAGTCATTAGATTACAGGCTTATGAATGGGAATAGCCAGGGTGGAAAACCTGTCTCCATTTTTGAAACCAGCCTCTTGAAACTCACGAAGCTGTGGTTGAGCCGTGAGTGTATGTGTGTGCATGTCCGTTTTGTGTATCTTTCGTGGTAAAAGCGGGCTGTGTTTAAACAAACAAAAATAATAACGAACAATGTCACAAAGGCATCGCCGTGTGCATCAGGGCACGCACTCTGACCAGTGCCCGCAAAGCGTGGCTTGATGGTTTGGCAGAGCTGAGATGGAGTGGGCTGGGATGGGGGAATAATTAATTTTCTGGCTACAAACTCTCTCGAGCACCCAAATAATGTCTGTGACTCATTATTTATTCATACAGCTAAGTGAGCAGGGGAATGCAGAGGCCCTGCCAGCCGCTTTATCACAGTAAATGCTATTGTGAATGCACGGGGCTCTATGTTTCCGGGTCTCTGAAATTTAAAAAAACTTGACGTGTGTGTGTTTGTGTGTGTGTGTTTCTGTGTGTGTGTGTTTCTGTGTGTGTGTGTTTCTGTGTGTGTGTGTGTGTGTGTTGGGGATGGCAAGGGAGAAGTTAAGGAGAAAGGGAAGAAAGCAAGTCATTAACCAAGTTTGAGCTTCAAATTAAAGAGTTTTCAAGTGCTTCTTTACCGGCAGAGGGAATTTTAGTGAAGTTGAATCACACAGACATACATTAGTCACTCGTCTTGCAGTTGGTAACACAGAAACACCGGCCACTGGTGAAAAGCTGCAAACGGCCCCTGGCTGCATTTCCTCTGGGCTGCTAACAAGCAGAGGAAGCAATACTATTCGTAGAATAACAGAAAAAAAAAGATCTTCCTGCCCTTACTCTGCTTTCAATATCCCCTCGGAACGTATATTGTTTCCTATTTTATCAACTCAGGAAGGCAGATTCAGGAAATTTTTAAGCATTCTGCTGGGAGATAGGTTGCATTTCAGAGTGCAGTGCCAGCCTCTGGGGCTTTTCTTAATGGCCAACAGCAAAGATGGTGAGGGGACACGGTGACCTGTGCAGACATCAGGAGATAGCAGGAGTCCAGCTCTCTCCTGGACAAGCCCAGGGCTCCTGTGCCCAATGGATACTCAGCTGACCTGCCCCAGGTTGGGAATGAGGGTCAGTTAAACTTTCACGCGGGCAGTGTGGGGAGGGCCTGAGCTCTCACTAAGACTCAAAAGGGCTAATCTGAAAAGGTTTCTCCATTCCTTCCTTTCACTGAAAGAAATCTGGGGCCCTTCAGAATCTCTAATTTGATAATATAATATTGAGATTTAATGTCGGAGGGCCACGTGAAATCTTGGCAATCTTTTGGTTAATTTCATCCAAGTGATCTATCAACATAAATTGTCCTGTTTACCCGTCCACATCATTCATCCAAGCTGGAGAGGTGGTAAAATATCATTTCTGTTGGTATCGTTTGGTCATCATCTTAGAGCTTGATGCTAAAACAATCACCACCCCCACCAGCAAATGGCTCTCCTGACCGTTCTCAGGCTGTTGCTGTAGCTGGGCTACTCACAGTGGTCAATGCGGTCATTTCTGACGGCCTATAATTTACAGCGTGTGTTCCCTCCCCAACGGCAACTGTGAGCTGAAGGGGAAGACAGCATCTTTGTTTTCTTCCTGGGATGGTACTTTATCAGTCCATGCAATTCTCACAGGAGGAAACCTGTAACTCATTTTTAGCAAGATACCCATGTGGAAATTCAGGGAAAAGAGAGGAGTGAGGTCAAGTGAACCATTGTTCCCTTCCTTGAGAGAGGCAAACCGGAGTCTGAGAGACTGGCACATGAAATTGATGTGGTCTACCACAGAGAACTCGGGGCTTTTTCTATCACACCACACCAGGTTCCCACTGAATTTGCTTAGGAAGGAAGACAAGATGCGATTGAAATTCCTGGAATTATCACACACGGTGTGCAATGTACAATTCTTGCTGAACCCAAACTTGGGTCCCCTTGAAAAGTGCAGTGTGTCGGCAGAAAGAGTTGAGGTAGGTGTGGAGAGGAAAAGCCTCAGTATGTACATATTTTTGCAAAATGCCTCAGGTAGCCTTGTTCTTAGAAGTGGCTTAGTGGTCTATGCAAAGCCTGAGTACTCACATGCCTCTGTGTTCCTAGAACCACAGGTAAAAATCTCAGCGAGACTGACTCCCTGCTTGTCTTCTCAGCGAAGTTTACCCCACTGCAGCAGTCTTTCAAAGGGAATTGCCGAGTACAAAGCTGCATGTATAAAGTGTGCTCTTCTGTGAGCATCAGTTTGCCACTCTTTTCAGAAGAATATTTATTAAGACACTTCTTCTGGCTTGACTGAAGACTTAAGATCTTAAGACTTCAGGCTTAAGCCACAGACATTTATTTTTGCACAGTTCTGAAGGCTGGAGGTCTGAGATCAAGGTGTCAGTAAGGCTGGTTTCTGGTGATGCCTCTCTCCTTGGTTTTGCAGACAGCTGCCTTCTCCCTGTTTCCTCATATAGTTATTTCTCTTTGTGTGTCTGTGTCCTAATCTCTTCTTATAAGGATACCAATTGCATTGTATTGGGGCTACCCCAATGACCTCATTTTAAAACCTTATGTCCAAATAAGTCAAATTATGAGCACCTTTGAGTTAGGACTTCAATACATGAATTCTGGGGAGACACAGTGCAGTCCCTAACAGTGGGTCTTAGCAAATCTTTCTCACCCTGGACCATAGGGAAACTGTGGGCATCCTGGCTGCTCTCCTGGATGTTGAAGAATCAGACTCTGGTTCCTCATTTGTGAGATGGAGTTTCACATCTGAAACTGCCCACACATTTTGAACTATAAAAAAAAAAAGGTGTGATAAAACTATCTACATTTTACAATCATGTCTTTGCCATGTAGACTTTTTGCATGCTAAGAAACTTTAGAAAATGATAGAGTAAATTTGAAATGTTTAAGTGTTAAAAGAGCAAATGGCAGTCCTCCCCTCCCAAAGAAACCACCTTTTGGCTCTGCTTTCTTGGAGAGGATTGTCTTTGTGCCTCAGACTCACTTTACTAGTGGGGTTTGTAGGAGGCCCCACAGATGCTCACACACCAAGTACAGGGACAGGGAGCAACCAGCAGCAGAAGCACCCTTGGAAACAGTAGCTGATGTGATTTTGAATGGCAAGAAGCCTTTTAGAGCTCTTGAAAGCAAAGGAGTAGCTGAGAGGTTCCTCTGTTCTCTCGAAATAGATCCGAAAGATGTACTCAGAAAAGATGTGGCCCTTAACTGAGAAATCAGGCCTGGTGAGATGCTGGGACCGAGGAGGGCTGCACAGCTGCTGTGCACACACAGACTTTAATAAGGAGCCCAAGGCCTAGGGGGAAGTCTGGAGGCATAAGAGCACCTGCTAATAGAGAAAGCAATGGCAGGAGGTCTGTGCGGGGAACGTGCCATGACACAGCGATGGCCTTTTTTTTCTTTTCCTATGTTCTGACTTTCATCAGATGGCATGTAGAGCTTCTCTCTTGAGCCTTAGTTTCCTCATCTGCAGAGTAAGGGTAGCAGCAGTACCTGTTATTAAGGTAGCTGTGTGGACTGAATTAAATAATTGGTGTAAGGAGCTTTGCGTCGCCATATAAAATAAGCAATAAATCTGAATGGTGGCTATCAATGTTCAGTTATCTAAGATGGCAGCTGGTCAACCTGTGTCTGCTTTAGGGAGGGAGAGGTCGCAATGCCCTGGAGGACATTACGGGAGGTTCCCTGGAGAGAGGGACACAGGAGCTGGGGGAGGGGAAGGTGGGAACAAAGAAGAGAGGAAGGGTGGTGTAGGCTGAGAGTATAGCCTGGGCAAGGTTAAAACTGCAGGATCCCACATGGGTGTGGACAGCGGTGGGTAACTCACCCCACCCTAAGGGCTTTTCAACAGCAGATCAGCCTTCCTTCCCTTGTGACTACCCGTGAAGAGGGTGGAAAAAAAACGAGAGCCCTTTATGAAATTCGACTTAACAAGTTTTGCTTTTATATACGGAAGCTAACTGGGGCACCATGTCACCTAAGTCTTTGGTCTGAACACACAATGACAGCAGAGATGTCTCTCTTCATTGAGGCTGCTGGTGTAGCTTTATTTTCTCCAATGCTCTTCCTAAGGAAAATGTCATTTTGCCTGTGTAACTCTATCAGGTTCTCTGGGGCTGCCTCTGAGACATTCCATTTTCCCTGCACCTTGGGGACATTTGTGATCATGTACTTTGTCAAAGCCCAGACATGAAGGCA